GCTAGCCACAATTTAGATTTTGTGGAATACAAATTTAGTTGCCCAGACGGACAGATTTTTTTTTTTTTCATCAAAGAGATGTGGATTGGGCAAGGATGGGGCAGAAATGATGCTTGTATAACTTTTTATGAATCCACTCTCGATTCTAAAACAGCGCTCAGAAATAGATTTTGAAAACAACGACAGTAAATTTCCGAAACATCTCAGCTAAATCCTGCGTACACCTAAATAAGCCCCTCTGGTTAAGTCTATTTTATAGTAATCAGCAAGAACTTTCAAATCTGCTGAAAACATATTTCCAAGCGCTTTCACAAAAAACCAGTTGTGGATTGTCGAAGAAAGCTTTCGAATTGCAAATTTCAGTCTACAAGTGCCCTTATCGTTATTTGAATTTTTACCTTATTCTTAAAGTATTTGGGAGAACTGTCGCGCTGTAATACCTGCCTCTTGCAAGCTTGTAGCGTTACTGAGATGGAGCTAAGCAATTTGGCTTTTTTCCCCGCTATTAAGACCAAAAATACATCTTTTTTTTTTCTACAGAAACATTTTACTTGCATTGCTCATCGCATAACGCTGGGGAAGTTTTTTTTTAAGTCAAATGAAATCCATGAAATTTAAAGTTTCGCATTATTTGAAGCTCGGAAACCTGATTTCTAAAAAGGCGACCAAAAATCTTGAAATATAAAATCGATAAAGTTGGAATTTCGAGATGTAATAGAAAAGACAGGTCAATATGCAGTCTGTTTTTAATGGCTTTGCTATAAACAGAGACAGAATAGTGGGCGAGAGTGGGAGCAGGAATCGTCAGTGAAGCCTCCCACCTGTCGTGTTGAAAATAAGCTTATTTTTATGTTGGTAAGACTGGAATAGGAAATGATTATTGAAGAATAAGAAGCGGAGGAAGAAGTGCAGAGAAAAAATTCCGACTTTTTTTGGTATTATTTGGTCTTCAAAACAGCAGAATTAGTAGCAAAAACTTGCAATATTTATCTCTTGTAACTGATTATTTGCTTTTTATAAGCATTATATCGAAGAAAAATCTTAAAAAAAGACAGCGAACTACTTCATTTTCACTGTTATTTATCGGGCACGACAATAAAAACTGATAAAAAGTTTTTGTTGGAGGAGATATTGTAAAATGAACGACTCAACGATCACTGAATAACAGACGTTGCACCAAGACAGCTGGTTCGATTTACGAAAAAATGAGCGTAAAACTGTTTTTGCACTGATTGATTGCTATGTAGCTGTTGCAGCGATGTCGTTGTTCAATCAGATGAAGCTCAGCGTGGCGAAAGCGCTACAGTTCAGCACCGATGGCAATATATTCGAAATCCCGGAATGCGCTGTGCTCTCGACCACTGATAAAATTTCTATCAAAGTGGCCAATATCACACAAATGTACATGCTTGCTCTTCGCATTTCCGCTTCTCATAAAATCCA